ACCAATTATTTGGCATGCTTTAAACTTTGATGTCGGGCCCCCATGTTTACTTACTGAGATATTTCTATCTCACGGCTTTCTTGTCCACCATTTCAGGTAGTGAGACCCGACGCGTGGGAAGCCCGGGGGAGTGACGAGCTAGATGGCTAGGCACTTTTGGACTTAGTTTTTGTAGCTAAGCCGTTAGTCGCCCATGCTTGACTTAGAAATTTTTGTGTACAGAACTCCCTTAGTTATGGTCACGACTGTGTAAATGAAGTTATAAATCTTTGTACCTTTTGACAAGTAAATAGTTGGAAAGGAAAAGAAATTAGATATTACCTGAGTTTCTAATCTGAGTTAGTGATATGAACTTAGTAAGTTCTGAGCCTTGTGCATTTGTGGGACCCCCCTCACAAGTGCACGGCGTCTGCCACGTCCCCGGATTTGGGTTCTGGGGCGTGACATTTGGGTTCTTCGAGGAACCCAAATTTGGGTTTCGTGAGGAACCCAATTCTGGGTTCCTGGGTTTCTTGAAAAACCTAGGTTTTGGGTTTTGCAAGGAACCCTTGACGAACCCATAACCTAGGTTACGCGAGGTTCCTTGAGGAACCCAGTTTCTGGGTTCCTCGCGGAACAAACCCTAGCATTTCTTTTAGTAATTTCACAATTTCACTTCATTTCCACAGATCTGAGCACAAAATTCATATTCTTGGTGATTGGTTTGACCAATTTGGAAGTTTGGGATGGTAAAGTTAGTTTTTCTTTGCTTCGTTTCTTTAGCTTCTTGCTTTGTTTGGTTGCTGAGAAAATATTTCTAATCCCCCTTTTTTTTTTTTTCGGTAGAAAAGTTGTTTCATTTTGCACTATGTGAAAACTTATAATGAGTTTGAGTTTTTCATTTCCTTTTTCTTTCGTTTTCATTGAATTTCATCCGTATCTTCCAAATTTTGGAAGTCAATATTGAGTTCGTGTTTGTTTTCGTTTGGCCTTCGGGAACTCAACTGAAACTGAAAAGGAAAAACAATTTTTCATGTAGGCCCCACAAAAAGTGAATCTAAAAATGGAAAGCAATTTGACGTGTAAGTAAAAAACATTCCATAGTAGCAAAATTTTCTTCGCTAGACTTACACGTCATTAAAATTCAAAAAAGCAGTGATTTTGTGGAATTTTAATGTGCCACCTGTCCACACTTAATTGATGGAAGAATCATTTTGATATCGAAAATGAAAGTTTAAGGATAATTTTGGTATTTTTCTAAAGTTGAGGAAAAATTTTGGTGCCAAAGCGGAAAGTTGAGGGACCAAAATGGTATTTTAACCTAAAACAATAATGATGATCAATCGGAGCTGGACACAACAATTCCGCCAAGGATTGCCGAATGCAAGGTTTTTAAAACCGAATCGGACCGGCCGGTTGAACCGGTTGGATCGGTATCCGATAATGAAAATGATTTGGTTTATATAAAAAAACCATTGTAAGTCAAAACCGATCAAAATCAGTGAAACCAATAGAACCGATAAAACCGATAAAACCGATAAAACCAAAAAAATCATCGGTTCAATTTCTCATGCAATTTTCTTTTTATCTTTTCCAATTTCACCCTCACCATTCCTTTCTTATACCGATTTTAACTCTTAATTTTAATAAAATTACAAAATTACCTACTCCTCTCATCAGATTTCCCTTGTTATTTGGATCGATCGGTTCATCGGTTCAACCAATTGAACCAATCAAACCAAAAATCAAACCAAAAAATGGTTCAATGACCGATTCGGTTTTAAAAACCTTGACCGAATGTGCCTTTTCAGTACCTTTGATGAGCCAAGTCAACCAATATGGATCATGGGGCCCAACAATGGAGCCCACATATTTCGACGATGTGAAGTGAATAACTTCTATTTTGTAAGCACATTTTAGAATAGCTCCCAGACTTATCAATCTTTTCTTCACCCAAAAGAAAACTTCCATTACCCAAATAAATAGTGACTATTGATTCTTTTTGTTAATTTTATTCATTTACGTGATCTTAGTCACCTGGTGTTTCATTTAAGATGATGTTTGGGTGGTCATTTATGTCAATGTGAAATTGTTTTGATGCCACAGTTTGCATGTTTATGTGATCCAAATCCATATCTTCGACACACGCTGCACTGGATGGGTTTACATATGCATTAGTTTTACATCTCTCAATTTTATCATGTGTTCAATATATATGTATATATATATTATTTTTTTTTCCCTTGACATCATGTGTTTAATATTGAAAACATAAAAAGAAAAAATAAACAGAGAGAAAGAGAAAATATATGCATATTAAAAAGAAAAAGGAAAGAAATACACAAACACAAAAATAAATGTTTTATTTGTTTGTTGATTTCTCCTCAAAATTAAAAAATGCAATCATTTTTTTTTATGAAAATTGTGAGATATGTATATGCCATTGTCAATATTTAATTGTGCCACCAAAGTTCAACTTTTACGTATACTACTTTTAAATAACTTATCCCATTTTATAATTTCAATAAATAGTGACTCTAAAAATTTTTCTAATTTCACACTTAAATTTCAAATATTCATTTTTATTTGAATGTTGAGTGGATAGTCAACAGGTGGCATCTCTATATTTTCATATTCTCACACTTAGTTTTTAAATTTATATTTTAAAATTTTAAATGGTAGTTAATAAGAGGAAACGTTGAAAGCCACAACATTTTCAGGGTTGATGTTGTTGTTACCCATTGAAGGAGTGGTAACTACGGTTTTGGCAGTGCTTGAATAAGTTGTTTTAGGTGTTTGATCATATCTGTGGTTTACGGACAGGAAAAACTCACTTGAGGAAGGGCTCTAACATCACTAACACAGTATTTAGGGAATTGTAGAGAAGCGATACTTTAGTCACTGTAATAACAAGAATATATACAATGGTTGTATATACATTAGGGAATAATTACATAATGAATATGCAGAAATTGGTTATGTCTGCAAAGATTGATACGGCTGAGAATCATCCTTGATACTTTCCTTAATATGACATTAGTCCTAAGGGAAAGGGGTTCCAACCCCAGGAGGAATATTTGATTATATTTGGATCTTGCTTGTAGCAAATATGGGTTGCTACTTGCTGAGGATAAACTATTGTCCCTTAAGCTGGCGTGACATGACATGACATGAGTGGCTTCTATAAAGTTTAAAATGCTCATAAAGGTTGTCTGTCTATTTTAGTAGTCTTATTTGTGCACTTACAATTACCTTAGTAATTTTATAGTGTTATGTGGATTCTTGTAGTTATTACTTGTTTGGTATAATGATTAAAATTTAAAAGATAATAGATAGTTGATAGCAAGCAAGTAATAGATAGTGGATAGCAATAGTGGATAATGGATGATGGTTAGCAAAAAAAGGTGGCGAATAATAGAAAATAAGTAGTAGATAATAAATAGTATATATAATTAATATAACTATTTTGTTATGTAATAATTAGTAGTTGTTATTTAAAATTAAATGACTCATAAAGATATTGTCACGCCCCAAAACCCAATTTCGAGACACGACAGACGCCGTGTACTCGTGAGAGGGGTCCCACAAATGCACAAGGCTCGGAACTTATCACATCACACTCTGATACCACCAAACTCTGAAGATCAAATTATAAAATTCTCTCAAATATCATAAAATCTCCAAATACAAGATCATGATTCATATCTAAAATTTATATCCAATTACAATATGGCTAGCCTTTTAACTCGTCACTTCCCGTGGTTTCCCCGTCCTCGGTTTCACTTCCTGAAATGGTGGACAAGAAAAACTATGAGATAAACTCAGTAAGTAAAATATGGAGTGCCCCTTATTTAAACTTATAGCATGCCACATGTGCAATCACGCAAAACGGATACAGTACGGGAACGAAATAAACGTCTCCTCTATAGGTCACGGCTAGTGTTATAAACCTCCCACTGACAGGCACACGATTTACTAGTGTATAATCCCACTAGCAAGATAACAGAAACGAACCGGTTCTATCAGTAACATGTCGACATGTGCTAGCGTTTATAAACCTCCCACTAATGGGCACACGAATAACATGACCATATCGGAGACAAAACAGGCAGAAGTTAACAGAAAAATCACGATTCACAATCACTTTCGAATCATCAGGATAGTCATTTAAACTTTCAAGTAGGCATGCTCAATTTAATGAAAAGCATAAACATTTCACTTCAAATCAGTCATGCTTGTGTAAAATGGGTTTAGTCCCGCCACCACTTTAAAAACAAATCAAAACATGCTTTTAAAAACTGTACGGGCATTACCATAAATTTATTTACCTCACTCGCATAAAACCGAGCACTCAATTCACGTACTAACTGACAGAATGATCGGAAACCTAATCAAAACACCTCAGAATTAATATCGGACTATCACAAATTCAAGCTGAAATCATGATTAGGATCATTTCTAATCACAATGCTATTCCTATAAATCTCCACATGATCAAATATCTCCAAAATCATTCTCATATCACAAACTAATCACTTAAATCCCCATTAATTGTTGGCCCTCGGGGTGTGAACAGTAACCGGTGAACAGTGCCTATGAACAGTGACCACGACGTGAACAGTAACTCCACTTCCACAAATTGGCCAAAACACTAGCTAATCTCACGGGATTTTCTCCAAAAATCACAACAACTAATCAAGCTAATTTACACTTAAACCAAGCTTAAAAACATAGCTTAAGCTATCAAAATTCATCCCCAATTTCTGCAAACTTTCGGACATCACA